GCTAGCCGAACATGTACTGCGGAGACGCATCGACATCTGGCAATCATCGTACTCGAAGAATAGGGTCTGCGTGTGGCGAGCCACGGGACAGAAACCGTAGGAATGTTTACTGTCGCGTGTCGCCACGAATATTTCTTTTAAGGAGAGCTATAGAATTACTCCATGCCTTTATTAGGCAAATCGTTCATCCCGAGACCGCGGCTACGTTTGGCTACTGACAGTCGCCTCGAGCCCAAGCTCATTATCACAACTCTCGAACAATTACAATCGGATTGAATAACTACAATTGTTCAATTACAGACTCCGGTGTTCTTTCATCTCCGACATACAAAAATATTGGTGAGTATTGGCCGTTCTCCATTAACGGTTACTCCAGGGGAAAAAGCTTTTCCCGTATTTTATCGCAATGAGCAATAACTCTAAGAAACTCCTCGACTTTTAAAATGTTTGTAACAATAGACTGTAGAAAATGCTAAATTTTATGGCGGTTCCTTAGGATTATTATGGGCCTGAGTTGATATCCTGAGTTGATATGTCTTGATGGCTATCTTGATCGAGGGATGGATCTTGTTTTATGACAAGATTACGGACGTAACAGCTGTTATTATTTGTTATTACTGATTTTGTTTGTCATTTGACCATGAGATAGCCTTTTCTTTGTACTTATTGTATTTATTTTAAGAATAACGAAAATATTTTGTCTGATGGTCAAAGTGACCGCTCACGGTACGCAAGGCAGAGTACAAATTTTTCTCAGAAAATAAGAGAACAAACTAAAAGCAAACACCGAAAAATATATTGTATGTATGTTTTAGGAAAAGTCAGAAATTATGAAGCGATATGATAAAGTTTAAATATGATTAACTTTGTGTAGAAGTTCGAGAGCGGTCAATTTTACAGCCGCTGGTACGTTTGGCGTTAACGACGTATTTCCGTATTCTGGCGAACCAGTATTGTAAAGTATTGAGGTTATTCGGTGTGTAAACAGAGAAAACACGTGGATAAATTGTAAGGTAGAAAATATATTTAAATAGAAGTGTAATAAGTAAAAAATACAATTTGAGCTGGTCCAGATCCGCACGCTAGCTGTGTTACCTAATAACTGAAAAACCCCGAAGCCAACGTCGCCTGTCTACTGTTTATGGCCTGACTTCGTCGCAGTCTTTTGTCTACACGCTGTCGATGGCTTCAGTGCTTGAGAAAACTAAAAAAGACCAGATGTAGAGTTTTCTTAGAAGTGGTAACCACTTCAACATAAAGAATTGTCTTCTTTTTTTTAGTAGCCCTAAATTAAAACAAAATTATGTTTCTAGATACTATAGTTGTCGGGACAGCGTGTTTTTTTTCATCCTATCGCGTTGCGCTAGAGCCCTCTGATTGCCTATTGCAAAAATGGAACAACTTTGTATGTTTTCCAACTTTTATGGACACGAATATGAAACATCAATACAAAAAGAATCCGCGTATAATACAAGTAATAAACTGTAAAACGATGTCTGTTACATCTTTTAGCGTTTAATAGTTTGGCGTTGACGATTTTTAAAAGAAAACCTATCTTGGATACAATTGGTCCTAGAGAAACGTCTTTTTTTATTGAAACGTATTTCACTGTAGTAGGATGAAAAGTGCGAACGTTATCGCATTTTACAGTGATGTAGAAATGATTATCGCTGTGATTTAACTAAGCGATTTTTGGCCGTCGATGGCCCTGCCGTGTGAAAAGGGAATGAGCGTTTCGTCGCGGGACTATCGGTGGACTTATTAGTAAGGCTATACCCGGTAGTCCCTGCCTTAGACGTAGAGGGAGTTTCGCTAGTTGCGACATTTGTATCATGCGCCCGTATACTCGACCGCTAGCGTGATAGACAGACTCGTTGTCGTCGTAGTGGCCCTCTGGTGTTGGCGGTTGGTACCCGGATCGCCCGGGAGGTGTTACGACCGCGTTGATGCCTCGACCTGTCGGCGTCCTGTTGGTACCGATCCGCCACAGATTGAATGAAAAAATTTTTGTTTCATTTGAATATCAAAATATAGGTCTTTCAGAAAGCGTAGGAAGGATAAACCGGGATCGTATATTTTCATTGCAAAGTAAAAATTTCCCGTTTCGTAAGTTGACAAATCGATTGTTTTAAAACTAACAAACGGATCGATTCAAAATATGTTACACTATTTTGGTATGACTATTTATACAGGGTGGTTGGTAACTGGTGGTACAAGTGGAAAGGGGGTGATTCTACGCGAAAAAAGAAGTCGAAAATATACAATAAAAATTTTTCGTTTGAGGCTTTGTTTTCGAGAAAATCGACTTTGAATTTTCGCTCAGTACGTGTGTACTTTATCACGTCTCGTTATAACGGATCTCACTGTAGATCGTTGTTTCGATGGAAAAATTAAAAAAGAAATTAAAAAAAAATTTCTATTCTATATTTTCGACTTCTTCTTTCGCGTAAAATCACCCCCTTTCCGCTTGTACCACCAGTTACCAACCACCCTGTATATCACAGAGTCTCGATATTCTACGACTATTTTAATTAAAGTTATAAGCGATTTAAGAAAACGAACTTCTTCGCACTTTTTATGAATTTGCGGCCTAAAAATAGGCTTATCGTAATATAATAGGACCTATTTTAAAGATAATTTTATTAGATACAACTGTCTCTGAAACTCTTTTATTCACGACAAACAATTTCTAACGTATACAGCGAAGTGCAAAAAAAGTCATGTTTTTTATGTTTAACAGATATTTGTTTAAGAAGTACCGGTGGAAAATTTTTCCAAAGTTGCTTATTTTGTTCTAAATATCGCTCGGAATCAGATTCTGCAAAAACATTTCTACTATCAATTTGTTCCTGAAAAAATGTTAATTCGATTCAACTATCGGTAATTAATGCTATCTAAGACGCAACTACGTGCTACGTACGGTCGAGAAAATTTCACCACGTATTTGTTTAAAAGTTATATCTTATGTTCCTGTTCGAGTTATACGTTAATATAGTTCATAATCGTTTTTGTTTAAACTGTGGTTATTTACTTTATACTGCGTCCTGCAATATGAAGAGTGAAAATTAGAATTCAGGTGAAAATAAAAAATCATTGTTACATTTATAAAATAATGTACATAACTTTATTTTAAAATAGTACCGTTAATACTAATTGTTTAAATTTCACAATATATTTAAAACATAGTTTACAAATTGTTTAATATACATATATATTAATGTGCATTCGAAGAACGTATGATATATACCTTTATTAATATACACGTATGTATGTAATATCTATTGACTCATTATGTAAGCGATTAACGAAAATACTGTCATAGAAATTATACTTAAGTTATTCGCAACAACTGTAGGAGCTGGATTTGCATCTCGCATAACAGGAATTATTTCGCTCAACCAATCATTAATCACACTGGAATGATTTCGATACCATTGTAGGTTGCTCGAAGCAGATGTATTCGCAGCTTTGATGCTTACTACTATGTTTGTGATGTTGCCTACTTTGATACTTAACTCGTTCAGCTGCAATATTTGTTAAAACAATAATTATATTCATATATTGTTGAAATTTTGTTAGTAAATCAAATAAAAATGAATAAATAAAGACATTAATATATACTGTTTCTTCTTTGATCCAATTTTATTACTATGTCGTGAGTTGAAAATTATAATGTTGTAAGCCAAGATTTTGAAAATTTGCATTTGGTCGCGTATTTCAATCCTTACAAGCATTATTCCTTTAGTTTTATAGCTATATGTACAAATTTTGTATAAATATATGTCGGAGATGAAAGGACACCGGAGCCTTCCCTTTGGAACTTCAGGTAAATCCCTTAACAGCGTAATCTAGATTCTATCATAGGCGTAATTAAACAATTGTCGTCTTTTGATCCGATTGTATTTGTTCGAGATATGTGATAATGAGCTTGGGCTCGAGGCGACAGCCAGTTGCCGAACGTAGCCGCGGTCACGGGATGAACGCTTTGTCTAACAAAGGTATGGAGTAATTCTATAGCTCTCCTTAAAAGAAATATTTGTGGCGGCACGCGACAGTAAACATTCCAACGGTTTCTCTCCCGTGGCTCGCCACACGCAGACCCTATTCTTCGAGCAAGATGATTGCCAGATGTCGATGCGCCTCAGTAAGATGATTGCCAGATGTCGATACATCTCCGCCCTACATGTTCAGCTAGCCTGAGGGCCCGTTATAAATCTTAAGATTTAGCTAAGTCCTTCAAACAAACAGTCTTTGTCCCAACTATGAGAAGATAGAGGAGACCTATTTTTCAACGAACGACGTCTCCCACTAGCAACTTTCCCTCGAGGGCGGCTAGCATCTTTTTCTAACAACAGATATGCACCGATATGGAGATTGACCAATTAGCAGCAACGCCAATTTCCCTTACTTTCTGAGCGAAGGCTTTTCTCGACGAATCCGATGATCTCGTGTCCTTAGACACACTCCATTATAGTTTTCCTCTGTGGCATCATCGGGACGGGAAACTCATTCTCTCTCGCGATCTCATCGAAGAAAAGAGTAACCCCTTACGACCAGTGGATATTACGCGTTCGACTTAGTTTTTGTGAGCACGTTCATCTATCATTCCGTCGACCACGGATTCTATCTTATATTCGTTATTGAACCTAGGATCATTGTCATTAGTTTCTCGAGTATCTAATTACCACGGTTACTTGTCCAGTTCTATGATAATCGTATTTGCACTAGTCAGTGTCTTCTCTATTGCATAACGACAACGTGTAATCCCAACGAAGAGTGTCTTCTCTATTGCATAACGACATGTCTTCTCTATTGCATAACGACAACGTGTAATCCCAACGAAGATTCGTTTCACGCCCCTAACCCTAATCATAATGTGAACCCGACATATATAGTATTTATGTATATTTTTCTGAAAGTATGTTTTATCTTCTCTATAATTTTTTAATTCCTGTTTTAAAAAGAAGTTAATATTTTCATGCTAAATATCAGTTATCACTTTAAGATTCGCTATTCTATAGCATCTTGTAGTGATCGAAATAAACGAAAATTTATCGGTACTACCAATAAATTAGAAGAATAGAGTGAATAACAATAATTTCCAATTATACTATATGTCTTACATTTTTATCTAATGTTTTCGATGTACACAATTCATTATGATAAATCAAGTCATGATAAAAAATTCTTTAGGATTCATTAATATTCATCATTTCCATGTTAATATTATTTGCAATCTTTCTAACTGTTAAAGTTTCAGTAGTCACCATTGCAGTATATCGTAGAAATTCAAAGTGTAAAAATAAAAATGACATTATTTGTGGAATCAAAGAATAGCTTCATGTGCATTCTAGGAATTTTTACACTTTTACATGCATAAACGTCTGCTGTATGTTCATATTAAACGTTAATCAATATACCTTTGTAATTTGATCTTTCACTGAAATATGAGATGCCAGTTTAGAAATTAATTCTTCTACACCATCCCAGTCCTCGTAACTGAAAATAAAACAAGTATATAATATTCTCTTTTTCTACATTAATTAAATGCGTATTGTTTCGTGTAATTATTTATCAACTTACAAATTATATATTTTTTCATAATTATTAACTAGGTAGTCTAACATCACATCCACTCCAAATTTTCCAGAATTGTAGACAGAAGCAAGTACGGTGCTAACATCTTGCTTTCGAATATTAGAGGTATAGTTATATGTCAATGCATGTTCAATATACCTGGAGTAAAATAAAAAGATTGTTAATTGTAATAAAAATTTCTAATGTTTTAAAAATTTTTACTTATTGATCGCCGATGTGCGTAAACAGTTCGGAAGATTGCAGAACAATCTAAATATCATTATCATTAATAGGTCTAATATTCTTAATGTTAAGATAATAATAAATTATTCTATATAATATATAATAATATAATGTTCTTAATGTCAACAGTGACTCATTAATTCGAACAATGAACAAATTATATTAACTTTAATTATTAATTTTGTAAAATATGTATATAACATGAATTTTTAATCACACAAAAGCGTTTATTAAATGATTTACTAAATAGCACAAATCTAGTTGTTTTACAATTCGTATATTCATAAATTATATACATATTTATATTTTGAGTACAAATTGTAAATCATAAATTATTTGATGAATAATAAAAATTAGATCAAGTACTTTGTTACTATACTACTACTAAAAAATTATAAAATTATTACTGCTATTAAAAAATTATTATTATAAATTGTTACTAAAAATTATAAACCTTTTATACTCAAATCATATAATCGTATAATCATATACACTCAGATCATATACTGAAATCTGGCTTGTTGCGCCAGTTCAGAATTGTGTCTAAACTTTTCATTTGAGCCCTGGTACAGCCTTGTGTTCGATGACGTAGATGAACAGCCTTGATTTAATTATTTTATAAATACAGCATAAATAAAAAAAGCTAATAGTTCCTTACCTCATGTATCACTATTAACATTCACGTGTATGATGACGTAAACAAATAGCCTCAAAACTCAACTGGAATTTAGCTATTTATTTCATATTTGTATATTATATAAGACATTTTGAAATTGTATGTTATATCTAACATTTTACACCATCTTAACCCTTTGATAGTGTGATAAAGTGTGGAAATTTGAAAATGTGAGATTTAGAATATAATTTCGTTAAGATATCCTACAATTCTGGTGTCAGCTACAAAAAATACTTTCAGCTTTTTGTAGGTAATAAATATTAATAATCACGTTACTGTTAGGGAAGTGATACATTTACACTGTACATGAGAGTGTATGT